AGCGCGGCCCGGCCCGGCCCCTGGGCGGGGGCAGCGGCTCCTCGGCGGCGGGGGAGGGGGCCGCGGACCACCCCCTGTACACGCAGGAGCACCGCGCCCTGAGGGCCTCGCTCAGAAAGGTACCGGCCCGCCCAGGGGCCCTGCTGCCAGCGCCCCCGGCCCCAAGGCAGCCCAGTGCGGGACCCCGGGGAGGGCTCTGTCCTGCGGGCGCCTGGCGGCCTGGTGACAACATGCAGCCTCCCCGCCTGTGGGGGGAGGTTGGAAACAGCTTGGGCACGGGCCAGAGGCCTGGGGACAGGGGCTGGAGCTGGCCCAGCCTGCAGGCACCCCCGGCTCAGTGCAGCCAACCTATTTGGCCTAAGACTTGGTGGGATGTCAGCTGAAGAGGAGGTTTGGCCTCAGGAGTTATCATAATTTAATAATAAATAGTCGATGGTAGTAATAGCCATGTAGTAAAATCTTAATAAATGTAGGTTAGTATTTACACCCTGAACCCTGGCAAGACCAGGCCTGCGCTTGCGGCACAACAGGGAGCACGCTTTGATTCCTGCACAGATGAGCCCCAAGTCATGCCTGCAGCTTCACTTATGTGGAGATGGAGTAGAAGAAACAAACCAGCAAAACGGATAAAAATGATGAAAACATCCTTCTTTCCACCTGAGTGAAACTGTTTTATCATAGCTGTTCCCTCTTAGCATAGCGATTCTCTCACCTTCATTTGAAAATGGAGGGCAAAAATCTTACTTCACCTGCACTGTCAACAGCTCTTAATTTATGCTGATTTTACTAAGAGCAGAGATTAGCCCACATTTGTAATGCAGCTGTGGGCCAGACTGGAAACAGCGAATGCAGTGAACTTTGGTTATAGTAGCTGGATATTTAGTTCTAAACAAATGTCAAATGGTGGCATTTGGGAGAGAGTAATAATTTGTGGGAGTTTTCACTGACCAAGTTGAATGAAATGTTCAAATCAAACATAGTGGGAAAGGAACAAAAATGTTTTTAAAAACCCTTTTATCTTCACGTTTTTATATTATAACATGGGCATTTTTGTATTATTATCATTATGTAAATGCATGATTTTTTTCATATTGCTTTATCTCCTCAAAAACTAGATTTATAGATTTGGTTCTGATTTGCCCTTGGTGTAGCTCCAGGAAAGTCAGTAGAGTTACAAAAGAGTTTGTTTCTAGATCTTTGTAACAAGGCAAAGGTTTGTTTTCTTTTCACCATGTACTTGGAACTCTTAGTTGTAATGTTTCATTAAGCCTGAATTTTTTTTTTAAATTGCTCTCCCAGAAATTATTACTCTCTTGTAAATGCCATCATTTGACGTTTCTGTTTAGAACTAAATATCCACTACTGTAACCAAGTGTATTGCATTCATTGCCTCCAATCTGTCCAACAACTGCATTACAAATTTGGGCTAATCTCTGCTCTTAGTAAAATCAGCCTAAATTAAGAGTACTTGATAGTGCGATTGAAGAAAGAGTTTTGTCCTTTTGTTTCTAATTAGTCTGAGAAAATTGCTGTGATAAAAGGGAGCTGCTATTGCTAGAAGGGTTATTTGAGGAACGGGCAAAACCAACTTACGATTTTTGTGAAAAGATCCTGGATTTAAAAGCTAATAAAATTATAACATGGCCATACTAGTGTTTTTCTGCTACCTGAAGTATATACATTAAAAATAATGTTGTTTAGAATATTGCTAATGTAGCATGGTTGTGGATCTTTGTGCTGGTACAGTGTGCATTGGCACGAACTGCTTTTCATGGAGAGCATGCTATAGGTAAAAAAAACAAAAACAAAAACAAAATTATTCTCCCCAAAGTTCATTTTAGGTAGCTCAAATTCTGATCAAATTCTATTTCTTTGCTGTCATAGGTAATATGTGCTAATTCACAACTGATGTAATAAGAACAGATGCCTATCATTTTCCCAATTAATTAATTCAATAATATTTTTTGTGTGACATTACTTTGGAAATCATAGATTAGATTAGTCCCTTTTTCATCTGGGAGCACTGACAATCCTAGCTAGAATTTGCAGTTTGTTTCACTTTGTGAAGTAGAAAAATAATGAGAAATATAGAAAATAATCATGAAGATCCAGAAGATTTTAATGCATTTTTATAATTTGATAATGGTCAGGTTCTATTAGTATCTATTTTTCCCACAGTCATTGTGTATATTTTTTGTATGTGTGTTTAGAAAACAAAAGTACATTTCACACTAAGCAGGTAGAATGATTGTTTTTGATCTTTTTAAACTATATATGATGCTTCTAGAATCATTGGGGAAAAGACAAAGCAATAGTATTTTGGTTTGATTTGGGGGAATAGGACCTTACTCTGAATTCTTGATAAAGAAGATATTCTTACAGAGTTCAATGAAAATAATGAATGTATAAGAAATATAGAATACAGCTGCTTAGAATATGGTAGTCTTAGGCGGATTGTATATGATTATGACGTCCATCAAGATGAGTAAAAGGAGAAATTTCTGTTAGAATAAAATGTTATATATAAATACAGATTGAGAACATGATATAATTGTGGTACCTGTGAGTTCAGTACATTACCAACTATGAGGTTCATCACAGCCTCATAATAGTTTAACCACCTTTTCTACACAGCACAGCTGTCAAAAGCCTCATATAGGGGTGCGCTAATAAAGATTTTCTTGGCCAATACCAATAGCTGATTATTAATCAGCCATATAAGCTGCTATCGATCCTATAGCCAATTTATAGGAATGAAGCCTGGCAGCTTGGAGAACAACATCTTGCCGGTAAATCGGGGGGGGGGGGGGGGAGATTGGGGCCCCGGAGGGGGGGGGGGGGGGGGGGAGGGGGGGGCCCCC